CTCGCATGTATTCCAGGGATTCACCGAGGAATGGGGGGTGTAAGTTGCGCCGTACTTTGATAAACGGTTCGCGCGGTGGTAACGGAGAAAGTTTCTTTTCGGCCTCTTGTCTAAAGTGTTCCAGACGAGCTCTCGTCTCCCCAGGCCGGAGAAGAATTTTGATACGTTTCTCAGAATCCTCAATGGTGGTTTCGAAACCGGCAGCTGCTACTTTCTTCCCTTCGGCTAACTCGTCATGATAGTCTGGGTTGGCCGTTCACTTACGTTTTCCATGGCCTTCTTTGGTTGCCACTGGTTGGCGGGACTGGCCTGCGCTTCTTGTCGCCGAGCCATGCAATCGATCCGTTGACGGCGACGTTTTTGGGATTTAGATAACGCCGTATATAAACCTGTCGGGGAATTGTAACTGTACCAGCGTTGGTCCGATGTCCTGGGTGGCTTGAAAGTTTTGCGATCGGTTGAAGAGCTGGAACTGTTGGTATTGCGCGAGTAATAATCCTCATTATAGAAAGGTGCGTCGAAGTCAAGACGCCGCCTGAATGAGGCCTGGTCTGTCGGCCGTACTTGTGGGCCGAGTCAATCGAACACTTGACGTCGCGGCCCAAGCTCCTTTGGTGATGTCGTTGACGCGGTAAGGACCGTGGGTGGTGTTGAAGATGTTTTCTTCACAGGTTCAACTGGTGTTTTACAATGGTCACATAAAACCTTTGATCCATGAGAATCGTCGGAATTTGTTGACCTCGTCGTAGGTTCACCGGCGGGTGGTCCCGATTGTTCCGTGGGTGGTGCATTCGAAAAGACATCGAGCTTTAGCCTTGTTCGACCATTCCGTTGACGGATATGTTGCACCGGGACGTACTCGGCCTTCCCTTTGTTTTTAGGAAGATGAGCATCCACCATACCAATTGTTGTTGAAAGGAAGGGATTGGCGTCGACCGCCATCTGCTTTTCTGGAAATTTCAACTTTCCTTTCTCGATCCAACTTTGTATTGTATCCCGAAATACGACACAATTGTTGGTCGCATGCTTATTAGAGTTATGATACTTGCAGTATACCTTTCCTTTCAATTCATCGCCCTTAGGGATAATATGTCCCGGCCGAAGCTTGATGATCTTTGCTGCCAATAATTGATCGAAAATTGCATCGGCCTTGGTGATGTCGAAAGTGTAGACTTTTGAAGATTTACTTATGTCCTCGGCGGCCGAATGGGCTTTGGTGTCTTTGCCATTTACTTGAGCCAGAGCCTTGCAGACGTATGGTTTGTCTATTACTATCTCGGCCGCATCCACACTAACGTACTGAGGGTCCCCGTTTTCGGCCGAGGCATAACTAACCGTGGGGTTCTTATACAACGTTCCTCGTGATGGTGACTTCGATATCTTTTCTTCTCGGAGCAGATAATCATACTGTTCGACGTGTTGAGCAAGTTCGTACATATCGCAAATGTTTGCCCCCAGGAACTTCTTTTTGTACTCCACGTCTAATCCGTTGAGAGCAATCCTGACGAATTCCACTTCGAGGAGTGGTACTCGGCACCAATTCCTGGCCGACTTGAACCTTGTTAAGTACTCCATTGGAGATTCGTCGGATGCTTGAGCCATCCTGGCCAAGGATGATACGGACATCTCCATCCCTGGCCGATAGAATTGTTCATGGAACTTTTCGACCAACTCCTCCCAACTCTGCACAGAATTGGGTGGAAGATTAATGTACCAGGCGAAAGCGGAGCCTGTCAATGAAAAATTAAACAAACGTAGTTTGTAGAAGTCACTATTGACGTCTCTACACTGCGCTGTGAAACGAGCCACATGTTCTAATGAGGACAAAGACGATTCCCCGGCGAAGAGGCTGAAATCAGGGATCTTAAATCCTCGTGGGTATTCAAACCTTTCTACGTAAGCCGGGTATGGATGAATGAATTTTGGAAACTTCGGCCCTTTCTTCAGGGCCGAATCAATCATTCTCTGAACCTCGGTCATGTTCACGGAAGCGGCTTCTTCTCCCTGGCTTGGTCCCTCGAATCTATTTCCTGGTCCTCTTCTTTCTAAGGTGACTGGTTGCGGTCGAGCGGACCCTCTCTCGGCTGGTATGGGCACGTTCGTCGAGAGCTGCCGAGGTTGGCCGACCTGGCCATCTTCGAAGGCTTTACTAACTAATATTTCAAGCATTCTGGTTTGTGTATCGTTGTTACTTCGTATTGCTTCTAGCAAATCATTCATCTTTTGACCAATCGACTGTTCGACCTGACGATACTGCTCATCAAGTCGTCTCCGAAGAAACGACCTAGTCGGTGGATCAGAGCCTTCTCCTCCATCGTCGTCGCAATCTTCCACTATCCCCTCCACAAACATACCCATTGTTTGATTCGGGATCGCCGCATTGTGAGGTTGCCCGCCGATACAGATTTCATTTTCTCGGCGTGTCACACTTGTAGCCTCGGGTGGCGCAGCAATGATCAGATTTTTTGCTGGGTGCGAATCCTGCCCAAGGCCTTGCACTGGTAAGTCAGCTGTTGACTTTCCCATGGTTGTTTTCTTCTTGGTAGACCGTGTCTCAACGGTCATGAACTCTGAAGGTTTAGCACAATGGTCCCACTGGGCGTGCCAAAATGTTGACTACAAAAATTACAAAACCTACGTGGCGCGCAGGCCGAGTAACTAATGAGCTAACTACGTCCTTCGGTTGAATGCGGGGCGTGCCAACTCGTCGGCCGAGCTCGGCCGAGGAGTAAAATGTGATGTTGTCGCGTTGGGTGCGCTGTTGACTTCTGTATCTTGCGATTGCGATCGAGGAAGGAACGCTCTCGGCCTCTGGGTTCTATAGCCTGAAGACAAGGCTACTAATTCTACGAGTTCACAAGTCGTCGGACCCTGATTCGGTCAATGTGATTATATTCGTAGGAGTATAAGCACGCCGAATCGAGACTAAACTATATGGGCACAGGTACTCGAATGTGATGTATGTCTTGATGGTAAACGTAGTTCGGCCGTCGGAATGCCGAACCCTGAAGCTTACTTGCGAGTATCCTTCTACTCATCTGGACCTCTTAGGATAGGATTCGGCCGACCTTGCCAGCTGGCCCGGGTTTTATTATTCGGCCCATAGTATTTGTCATTACCTTGGGCCGAGCACATCCTGCTGCTCGGCCCAATCATAATATTTTGGGCCCAAACAATAACCTATTTATGTATGTTTATTGAGAGTGCACGCTTAATTTTCATGCATGAATATGACGCTAGAATATAAGTGAGTTTCACCTAATAGTTATGAACTTATATTCACAAGTAGTGGAGGTTGCTTATAAACAATCGCGTTAAGTAAATTCTTGGCATAAGTTTCATGCAATTCATAGTAACGAATGCCTCGTCAACACTTATAGTTTTCATGATGCTTAATGATTCTTGCTTGTATCTCTATTATGCAATTCATGTAGGGAACTTGTGGGGAATGCTTTGGGTTGTCGCATGCAATCATCCAATTCATTAACTTAAGGAAAACTTGACGGTTAATTTAAGCGGACCTAATTAACCCGGGGTGTTGAGTTTCATAATTCATCGAAAGACCAACCGAAAATCATCTTGTATGCAAGTGTAACATGTGTGGAGAAGAACCTTCTAGCTAGCATTCATCCATATTTTCATCACGTTCATATTTACATTTTGCCCTTAATTACAATTTGTGCATTTTAGTTTAATTTCGTCAAAACCTCAATCCCCCTTTACTTTGTTGAGTCATAGTAGTTAGAAATCAATTTAGTTTGTGTTTTTAGAATATGGTTTAGTTTGGTGTCTTATATTGTGTTTTTACGTTTTTGAGTCAAATCCAAGTGATTTTGTAATCCCTCCTAATCCCAGGCCTAGAACGATCCCTACTTACATACTTACTACAAATGATAAAAAGAGGGTTAATTTGTGTGCGTATAATTCACGCATCACGTGTTACCCATATGTATACCCAAACCAACCTGTTATATTAACACGTGCTTATCGGGTTAACTGATAATGACCCAATTCGTTATCGTGTCGACCCAAACACCTGTTAATTTCATGTCGTGTCGTGTCAGGAATTGCCAAGCCTACCATGTACAAATCATTGGTTGGTGCTTTGCAATACCTTACATGGACAAGGCCTGACATCGCCTTTTTCGTTAATCAAGTTTGTCAACATCTTCAAAATCCCAGAACAGCTCATTTCACCACCGTCAAGCAGATTCTCTGTTATCTTAAAGGGACACCAGTTCATGGACTTCTTCTCACCAAAGGCTCTACAAACATCATTGCTTTTTCGGACGCCGACTGGGCTGGTTGTCCCATTGATCGTTGTTCTACATCCGGGTTCTACATATTTTTTGGAAACAACCTTATTTCATGGAGTGCGAAGAAGCAACCAACTGTTGCTTGGTCTTCGACTAAAAGTGAATACCGTTCTCTAGCCCAAACAGCTGCTGAAGTATCATGGATTTGCTACCTACTCCATGACCTTCGCTTCTATCTCCGTAATCCACCGTTACTCTTATGTGACAATCTAAGTGCTCTTGCTCTTGCTGCCAATCCTATTTTTCACGCAAGAATGAAGCATATCAAGATCGACTATCATTACATTTGTGAATTGGTCATCAACAAGTTAGTTGTCATATCATATGTGACCTCTCACAAGCTGATATATTCACTAAAAGCTTGCCCAAAGCTCGTTTCAAGCTACTTAGTTCCAAGCTAACTGCTCAATCTCCGCAACCTAGCTTGAGAGGGAATATTAACCATAGTCCAGTGAACAAAGCCCATGGTGCTACACCTTGCCAAGACACCTATTCAATTGATCAAAACACTCGTCACTCATCTAGCATCACCTCAACGGTACATTGTCAGCAAGGTTTGGACAACTATGCATAGATAAGTATGAGCATGAAGAATATTCTTATAAGGTTTCAAACGTAGTTGTCTACAAAAATAACCTGAAATTATATAGCACAAGAATTCAGAAAGTAATGCGAAATCCCAAATTGAGATGGAAAGATGGTTCATAAATCTAAACATCATTAAGATCATATTGTCCAGAAGTGCTTCCTTTGTTTTACAATGATTATGGATGTAATAAACTAACAGTCTGAACCCTTGATCCCCATGCGATTTCCCAGAATGAGTACATGCAACACACACACACACACACTTACTTACACTTGTAACAGTGCGTTTTTGCGTGTCCGTGCGTGTGTGAAAAGTACATAAGCTGGTCACTCGGGCTGCAATGGCAGTTTAAATATATTCCACATTTTAATCAAGGACACACAATTTCATCTTACAATGGAGTAATCATTTTGCTGAACTAAGCAGCACCCTACTGCACTTATCTGCCAGCAACATGTAAATCTTAACGAATTCCTCCTTAACCATAAAAAGTACAGAGGCTGCAAAAACACTTTGTACTATCTTTGTGCTCATCCCTTTGTAAAATCCAGGCAATCCTTCATACTTGATCATCTTCGTTATAGCATCGAAAGTACCTATGGTCCCAAGAAACCACATCAAACTGTGTACCACACAAGCGATGGATACTTAACATGTACAATAGAGAAAACACAAGTGAAAACTATCTTCCTTTCAGCTATGCAGAACATAGACTGATCATATTTCCTCAAATAAAATAAATTGCAGAGAGGAAGAGAGACAAGAAAGATACAATCGTGCTCCTCAAAACAAAATTGATGTCTTATATATCAGTCAAATGTGAACCTGAGTATCTTAGTGAAATATTCCCCCCGATCTCCTGCTTTGCTTGCAGTCTTGACTGCATAGGCTCAAGGTGACACAGATTATTGAACATTTAGAGCAGATTAAGATGGATAAACTCACATGCAATGAAATGCAGATTCAAGCACATTTGTTGAGTGATATAGAGAAGTGGAAATAGTGGTCATGACCTAGTAATAATGCGAATTGATGACCATACAAAATTCACTCACATGAAGTGGGATTTAGCAGTAATGTTGAACTATTTTTTTCCATGTCCTGTATAGGTTTATGCAAAGCACAGAGTAGCATAATTCACCTTGACAACTAACAATGGGTATGTTGAGATGGTTGCTCCTAGTTTTGCAATCGCCCCTAACAAAAAAACCTATCCACAAAATAATGTAATATGAGAGAGAGAGAGAGAGCAAAAAAATGGGTTCGGTATGGTAATCTACGATAAGTCGGTAACTTCCATGGGTTTCAGAAGATTTCAATAAATTCTATTTTACTAACATAGTATGATATAGCAATTTACTAACATCATTACATAGTAAGGTTTATTTGTCATTCTGCTATCAAGTCTATAGCGATGTGTGTGTGTGCATGCTTCAGCGTGTAAACATTGAAAATAATAGTAAAATTGGTGGTTTAGTATTAATAAATACAATAATATATTTTGGTACTTTTCAGTAATGATCAGTCAGTAATTGGTTGAAGTTGACTTTTTTGGTACTTACCAAATAAGTAATTTCCAATTTTGGATTTTTTCAATTTTTGGAATGTAAAAACCGTTCATCAAACCCAAAAATTTGGCCACTATCAGACGGTTCAGTTTTCGCAGAAGAAAACAGAAGCCCTAGGGGCACCCTTCACATTGATTATTATTACCACGTTATTAGGACCTTTGGACAAAATGTAAAACCTACAAAAGCTTGCAAAACTATCATTTCAAGTACATCATATACCTCCAAAGCAGTTACATTTTTTGATCCCTGCTTCCTGGCAGCACGTTTCGTCTTCATATGCTTTAAAGAGCTTTCATAAATCATGAACTGTATTGATGGGTTGCAAACCTACCAACAGAATCACTCATGAAGAAATAACTCTTACTGTAGCTAAAATTTATTCAATGATACATAGAATTTATTCAAACACCTAACCATAATAAGTGTTGGGATAATGCCTTTCCAAAATCCGGCAATTCCAGATTCAGTATGAACCTCGTGCACCTATCAAAACAGCAAATAGGAGATGCACACAGGGAAAAATGATGATAAGCTGTACCACTCATGAAGAAACAGGGATCCGCTTCAATGTCAAAGCTTAGGCCCAGTTTGAACAAAGCTTTTAACCAACTACGCACAACGGAATAAATAAGCATGTGAATTCTGATATAGCACCATGTGAATTATGGTAAATCACCACTGAAATTGCTTACTAACTTTTATGCTTATTATTAATGATTGTAATTTTGTACTGTGACTGACCGAACAACAATTCTGGACATAGAGCCCTCCACTTGTGAAGTGATGATAAGCTTCCGCCTAACCATAGGAAGCCGCCAACATTTCACAAGGAGCCAAAGCAAACAGAGATCACATATCAGCACCAGAAGCGATCCCAGAGTCCCACACTGAAGGGGAACAAGAGGACCAACCCTGACCTTAGATCTAGTCCTTAATTAAAGTCTCTACGCTTAAGCCAGCTTGTAAAATGTAAGCGCAATGAGAAATCTCTGTGGGCATAGCCCATACATGCGTGTGTGTCCCTCTCTCTTTCTCTATCATCTTCCACTGATCCATTTTGGACATCAACAATTAGTGTAATATGTAAATAGATAACCAAGAATAATTAACTGCATTTGGGGGGCTATTTCCTTGGGCAATATGTCCCCAAAGGTTACTATTTGGTTGATTTCCTACAAGAATTGTTCTAGACACAAATTCAATCACAAAGGCTTTATCAGACTTGAGGTTTGGCTGAGTTTTACGGGCATAATTTTCCACTCTTTTTTAAGTTAATGTGTAAGAACTTAAATTTCTGCATATTTATTAACTATATAACTTTTGGTTAGAAACATACACTTTTAACATTATACAGGTTCGGATGCAACACATCCACGCGAGAAGAAAATAAATGATATTTACTGAATACTCACCAAAAATCACATGCCACTGTCAATGGAAATATATGATGGACAAAAGAAGTTGAACTGACTAACCGCTTGCAAAGTTCCATACGGACGAGGTTTTATTGAATCAAGTTCAGCCAATTTATCTTGCAATGCTGAACCTGTCAAACAGTTTTTAGAAGCTTCCTTTAAGAGAGCTTCCTTTCTTTCCTCCATAATTTTTCTCTCTGCTTGAGTATGTGTCTTCAAAAAGAGTAAGAAAAGAGACAAGTCATTCTTTGAATGATGAAATGCATAGTGAAGTTATCAACTTATTGGAAATTAAATCACATTACAATCATCAAAGCATTCAAGTATTAAGAAACTATGGTAAATTAAATAGGAGTTGATGGCATTGGCATATATTTGCCTTCTTCCAGGTAATGTTGTTACATATGTGATCTAGGAAAAATTCCATGAAAATTTTTGTCGCGCAAAAGACACTTCGGAGTTTACATATGTACAAACATAGGAAAATTTACGACGCATGGACACAGACACAGAAATACCACATGACAAACGTTAAGTTTTAAAAAAAAAAAAAAAAGACAAGATACAACATGGATATGGCATTAAATATATATATCTAAAACAATATCAAATGAGCATTCAAATTCAAAATTAAGACTCATTTTCCTGGACATGTCTAGTTTATAAAGTATTAGAAAAAGTAGAAATAATTCCAAACAAAAAATATGAGTACAAATATTTTAATATTATATAGTGGATAACAAAAGCATATATTTTGTGAACTTTTAGACTGAGGGGGCGTTTGTTTGGCCTCGTTAGCTGGGACTGGACTGGATTGGACTACTTACTAACGTAGTCCCATGTTTGGTTTGTATTGGGACTAAGTTAAATGGGACTAAAGGGGACTCGCGTGGATTCGAGGCCTCGCTAGGAGTTCTTAGCGAGTCCCGTGGCGAGATCCTCCACAAACCACGGGACTCGCTAAGACTATCTTCGCTTAGCCCCTTTTGCTTCGCCCCTGCTTCTTCTTCTCCACTCCCGCATCCATTTTCATCTTCTTCCTCATCTCTGCTTCACCTCTCTACGAGTTCTGGGCTACGTTCTTTTGGATCTCAAAGGAATTTGCGTTGATTTGCAGATCAAGGGGAGGAAATGGGCATCGTGGCGGCGATTTGCTTCGAGCGTCATCGTGACCGCCATAGATGCCAAGCCCTTGCAAGCTTCAGTTCCCAACGCTTCAGCCCACAATGCATCAAGGCCTCCAATACCCACTTCCGATTTGGTCTCCCCCACCATTTCTAACATGCCGATAATTTTTTCCCGATCAAATCCTTGAAGAAAACTGCTCCATCCTCTCCAAGTTTCTTATTCTTCTGCAACCTCTCCCATCACGATTGCTTTTTTTTTTTTTTTTCCCTCAATTTTTTAATTTTTTTTTTTCACATGGGTTTGCTTGGTGCTATGTTGTTGCTGATTAGCGAGACCCCCCGATTACCACCGGATTGCTAAGACCCTTCTTTTCTCTCGCATCGTCCCACTTGACTCCTCGCTCTGCTCGACTCCTCATCCTGCTTGACAAGCTCGCCAGACCATCCCAGGACCACCGCCACGTCCTCGTAAATCACGGCTTCCTCTACCACTTTCTCTTCTTAGTTTTCTTTAGTTTTGTTTTGAAGATTCGTGAAATTATTACTGGGTTTTGATAGATTTTTTTTTTTGATCGATTTGTAGGTTTGATTGATTTCTTAGATTTGATTGGTTTCTGGGTTTTGACTGCTACCCATTTGTTTTCAATTTATCTACTATTTTTCCTTTTATGAAATGAAATAGAAAGTTGTTCTATGTAAATTCTGATTGGTTTTGTTATCAACTCATTAATTTCTGCAGGTATATGATCTTACCTAGTTAATTAGTACCTTGTACATTAAGGCTTATGGTAGTCTTACAAGAATCCAACGAATTGAGTGGAACTGTCGGCGAGGGTGAAGCACCTGCAATCCGTGAAGAAGAAGAGGGCTATGCCCTTTTATTTTTCCATATATTCATTTTGATATTTTTAATAGAAAATAAATTAAAATATAATAATAATAATAATAATAATTTATTGTTAGTCCAGTTTTTTAGTCCGACACTGTACCAAACGCTTCACCTAGTCTAGGCCAATCCAGCTTAGTCCTTGAAGTTAGTCCAGTCCGAGACAGTCCGGTGCAACAAACGCACCCTGAGAGTCCAAAGCTCTTCGACCAAAAACGGGACGGACGGTCCAAAGCTGTTAGCCGAAGAGCCCAAAGCTTTTTGACCAAAAAAACAGGACAAAATGTTTACAGATGTTCACCAGAGAGATGTCATTGGCGCATCACTGAAACATCAACTAGTGCGCAGTGGGTTGATAGATGTCACCAGCGCAGTTCTCACCCACACCAGACGATCATAGGGTATTTATTAGTTTTATGAAGAACTGAAAATTCTGAAGATATGGGATTGAGGGAATTGTAGGGGACGTCTCTACAAATCAGAGTTTCAGATAATTTTGGACTTCTCTTAAACTTCTGTTTCAATTTTCCGTTTGAAGGTCAGACGTATCCAAAAAAGGGGATACCCGTATCTCGAAGTTGAAACACGTATATGTCGGAGTTGACCATATCTCTTGTCCAGGATACGTATCCGAAGTGTATCCGACTGTATCCATCAAGTATTGTATCCGATACTGCATTAGATACAGGATATGGCACCGGATGACGTGTCCATGCATCGTAGAGGAAAATCAAAAAAAAAAGGAGGCAGTGGATTTTTAGACTATCATCAAGAGAAACATTCATTGCACCCATTTTGCCCCCAGTAATTCACTTTGCCTTTTGGAATTCTATTTTGAACTCACTTTGGCCCCAGTAACTCAAGAGTCATCACTTTCTTTCCTGAAATTGAAAATTCATTCCACTTTGACTTGTGGACTCGTTCTTCTCCTTGAAACTTATAGGTTGCCTCCTAAAACTTATGTGGGACACAACACCCAATAAGACTAAGCCACATGTGCAATAAATTTGATTATAAGTCTCCATTATGTGTTACCATTCACAATCAGAGAATATTAAGTTTAAAAGAAATTGACAAGATGAAAAAAATAAAAAAGAAATTGATTAGCTTGGTGCACCCAAATCAATCTCACATAAGAGATTAACATAACTAAGGACAATGTGGAGCGAATTTTGAGTTTTATAGAGACGACTTTCAAGTTTCAGGGGGCAAAATAGGATCAAAATCGAGTTCCAATGGGCAAAGTGAAGCGAACTTTGTGTTTCAGAGAGTAAAGTGGCGACTTTTGAGTTACAGGAAGCAATGTAAGATTAAATTCAAGTTCTCCATGGGGCGTAGCCAAAATAAGCCCTTATTTGATAATCGAATAGGCATGGAGATTTCCAAAAGGCACCAGTCCTATAAATGTAACCAGTAAGCACCACCATAAAGGCAGTCTTTCTACACTAAGGATTTCCATAACTTTCTTAAGTTTCGGGCATTCTTCCTAAGGCTACCCGATAATGCAAATTAGAGTTTATCTGATCCGAATTAATATAATATATAAATTTGTATTGGTTTTAAAAATAGTGATTATATAAGTACTACATAATTATATGTCACTTAGTACTACGATCTAGTGGTATTCCTCTTCACTTGCTAGCCTATTCAATTGTGAGGCTTAGCCCATTCCCCCACCCCTTTAGTACATTACAACATGCAGAGGCAATCCCAAAACAATTATTTTCATTTTTATACTTTCAAACTTGGATAAGGAAACTGAAATCTAAAACAAAGAAATTATTTTGGAGCATCACAACTTGCTTAGCTTATAACTCATCCAAAAAATCATTGACTTGTTGAAGTAAAATAGAGTGAAGGAACCTGCATACGAGTGACGAGAACCCATATAGGATTTGTCAGCAACACGTTCAAGGAACTGCAAGGAAAAACATTGGTAAAAATTTCTTCGTCAACCACCAAAGTGAAAAATTCCCTGTCTTACCCAAGGCTTCCAAACTCCTTTTGGGGTAGAAAACAGATAGTTGTTTTTTCTCTGTTTATGATGGCATAAAAAAAGATTTTTTCCTTTTTACCCGGCAAAAGCCGCCACAAGAAGCCAAGAAAACATCCCAATAGTACCATCCCCGCGTCCTTTTGCTCTACGGGCAATTGCAATGGCCTCGGCCTTGTTTTTGAAAACCTGGTAAAAAAAGTAATAAATTCCCTGCAAGCATGAAACAGTGAATGTTAAGATAAACGTTACAACATACAACACAGTTTACATAGCATTGAGATACTAGGAATCATAAATCGTAGTTGGCAGAGCATAGAGTAACAAACTGAAAGATTGAATGAAGTATCAGTAACATTCATTATCTTGTCCATTGTAGGAGGGAAGGGAAATCAGAAATGTACAAGTAGAGCTAAGGCCTCGTTTGGTGTCTGGGATTGGTTTGGAATAGGATAAATCACTAAGATTCAATGAATGTTGAAGAAATGTGGAAGGAACAAGTGGATGTCAGCTTGCTTATCTAATCCTTGTTGAAGAACGTAAAGTAATTTATCCAATCCAATCCAACCCAAACAAATGTCATACACCAAACCAGGCCTTGAAGGAATTAAAACTAAACATAAAAATAATAAAAATGGAAGGAAAGAAGAACCTGTGAAGCGGCAGTCCCGAGCAGAGAAGGCTTAAGGCCGCTGTATAGTCCTCCCCAACCGTCGCTTCTTATGACCTTATAACAATTAACAATAATGAAATCGAATTAATTAGGAACAGCATGGCGAAACGAATTGAATTGAATATTGAAATTAAGCGAATGGAATGAGGAGTTAATTAGATAATTATAGAATGATGACTACCTGGAGTATTTGGACAAGCGTGCCAAGCCGTTTGGAATTAGCAAATGATTGTTTGGATACTCTCTCCGTTTGTTGGCGCGTATTGACCTGCAATTCACCAAAAACAGACGACGGTGTGGGTGTGGTTGTGTTTGTGGGTGGTGTTGTACCAACTACCAACTCTGCTTTGGTAGAGAGAGAGAGAGAGAGAGAGAGAAAGATACTGTTTGGAGGGGATAAGTGATAATCTGGGCAATGATACCACCTCCGGCTCCTGCCAGACCATTCGCCACTGCGTTCGACATTTTTCTCTCTCTACTAGTAGAGTACTTTCCCTTCGTACTCAACTTCACTTTTCAACCGCCACTTCACTTCACTTGATTATCTTCAAACAAAGGCAATTTGGCTGAAATGCCAATTTTGGAAAATTCGTCTTCTAAAATAGCCCCTTCCGGAAATTAACCATATTTATAATCGTAAGTCAATCATTGGGTATTATCTATACCTATACTCACTAGCAGTGGCTAAGTCAGGATTTCTCGGAGGAAGGGACGAACTTAAAAGAGTGCAAGCTTAAAGAAAAATGACAACAACTAAATCTTTTTATATAGTAATGTCTTCCATAATTAATCAACACAAACAAATTACAATTGTTGCCGGCGAGGTTTCATGTCATGAAAACGTCGCATAATAGGCTCATTATCAATAAAAGCAAATACATCTATTTTAATTAAACAACCATGCTATCACTCAACCATTGATCTCCCATTTTATTACGCAATAGTGTTTTCACAATCTTCATAGCAAAAAAAGCTCTCTCCACCGAAGTAGTTGCAACCGGTAACACCAAAGCCAATGTAAGAAGCTTATACATTAACATAGCGCTTTCACACCTTCCAATATTCACTGACTCTTTTGCAAGATCAATAATTCCTCTCAATGATGAAAACTAACTATGCATCTTCATATCATGAATGTAATTGTCAAGTTGAATTGGAAGATTCATGAGGTCCATACCGACACATCCCAACCCGAAATGTTCACTAGAACCCCGAATCGAGCTGTGCTGGCCAACATCTGGAAGGTGACGAAGCCATAAAGTGTGATAGTGTATAAAATGTGAATAAATTAAAACCTAAAAGTGCTTAAGTACACGAGTGCGCAATGAGCACGTATGGACCCATTTCACGCGTGATGTGAGCATTCTTGGTTTTGTGTCTAATGTTCGAATCTTGCCACCTCGTCGAATACGGAAAAATATGTTAGCATTTCTTCAGTTTTGGGCAGTTTTGTGGTCTTGACAACTTTTAGGAAAATCATTTTGGCGTTTGTCCTTAGAATTAAGACGAAGTTATTCCTTGTGGAAGAAATGTGTGGATTTGAGGCAAGTTGATGCCCCAAGTTAATGTATTGATAACCGTGTACCCACTGGGAAGTTCTCGTGTGAGTTCCCAAAAACAAAGCCATGAGGGCGTGGTCAGGGCCCAAAGCGGACAATATCGTGTTACAGTGGAGTCAAGCTCGGGTTGTGGTGGGGGCCTGGGCTAGGATGTGACAATTTGGTATCAGAGCCAATCCTTGGCCGAATGTGTGCCGACGAGGACGTCAAGCCTCTAAGGGAGGTGGATTGTAACACCCCACATTGCCCAAGGGAGTGGATCATGTAAGCCTTATATGTATATTCTTATCTCTACCTAGCACAAGGCCTTTTAGGAGCTCACTGTCTTCGAGTTCTGTCGGAACTCCGAAGTTAAGCGAGTAGCGCGAGAGCAATCCCAGGATGGGTGACCCACTAAGAAGTTCTCGTGTGAGTTCCCAAAAACAAAATCATGAGGGCGTGGTCGGGGCTCAAATCGGACAATATCCTGCTACGGTGGTGAAGCGGGCTCGGGATGTGGTGGACCCCAGGCCAGGATGTTACAATTTGGTATCAGAGCCAATCCCTGCCCGGAAGTGTGCTGACGAGGATGTTGGGCCCCTAAGGGGGGTGGATTGTAACATCCCACATTGCTCAGGGGAATGGATCATCTATACCTTATATGTATATTCCCATCTCTACCTAGCATGAGGCTTTTTGGGGACTCAATGGCTTTGGGTTCCATCGAAACTCCAAAGTTAAGCGAGTAGTGCGCAAGAGCATTCCCAAGATGGAGTTCCCAGAAACAAAACAGTGAGGGCATAGTAGGGGCCCAAAACGGACAATATCATGCTATTGTGGTGGAGCGGGCCCAGGATGTGGTAGACCCCAGGCCGGGATGTGACAACTAATACACCCCGATCCAGAATGTCCAGTAGAACCCCCGAATCGAGTTGTGCTGGCCGACACTTGGAAGGTGAAAAAGCCATAAAGTGTGATAGTGTATAAAATGTGAATAAATTAAAACCTAAAAGTGCTTAAGTACACGAATGCGCGATGAGCGAGTCTGGACCCATTTCACACGTGATACAGAGCATAGGTATAATACAGAAAGGTAAGATAATGATTATACCATCATAAGAAGACATATGTACTGAAAAGTGCCACGAATCCTCGTCGATACGGAACTCTGCTGCTAGAACCTGGAGGGGGTGCAAAAATAGAAAATGTGAGTGAGCGAAACAAAACTTTTCAAATCAATTTCAATTACCAAAGGCAATAGCCCCTTGCCGTAACACCTGTATAATTTCCCAGAAAATAACAGGCGTGACTATAACTCAAAACCAAAACCAAAATATCAGTCTCACAGCTATGCCGTGTCAAATATCTCAACAAGAATAAGTAACCCAGGTGAAATAAATCAATATGAAATCGTATGTCAGCCGGATCCACCTATTGTGGCCTGTACAGCTGAACCAATAGCTCATCAACATGCTAGCCAATAACTCAATAAGTATACCTGCACACGAGTCGGAACCACCTAAAGTCGTCTATACGACATGACTGGGTGTAAATAAATACGCTCAAGTACTACGATCACGTGAAGACTATGCGAAATCGCGGGTCACATTGTGATCATCGAGAGAGTCGGTGAAGTTGCTTACAGGCTTGAGTTGCCACCAGAGTTGTCTAAAGTACATGATATGTTCCATGTTTCCATGCTTCGTCATTACGTATGTGATACCTCTTCAACCTTTGGAAATTAATCCAGATTTGACTTATGATGAGGAGCCAGTGACTATTCTGGATTGGAAAGATAAAGTTCTGAGAAATAAAACAGTGCGTTTGGTGAAAGTTTTGTGGAGAAATCACTCGGTGGAAGAGGCTACTTGGGAGACAAAGGACCGGATGAGAGAAATGTATCCACGCCTGTTTTATGATTATTACTGGTTTGTTTATTGTTGTTGTGTAATTTCGAGGACGAAATTTTCTTAAGGAGGGTAGGTTGTGACAGCTCGTCCCGAATTATTTTTTATCGACAGTGTGAAATGTCTATTTTGCCCTTAAACGTTGTGTGGTGTGTGTTATTGGGCTAAGGAATGGGACCAATTATTTCATATCCTACCTTGTTGGACCCAATTGGAAATTGGTATTGTTTTGTATGGATTTGGCATGCAACCCAATTAGAGCTTAGGGTGGTTTTTAGGTGCCCAATCCGGACACACATTCACACACTCGCATATACGTGCAACCTGCATCTTTCTCTCTCTTTCTCTCGAACTCTCTCCATCCGTACACTGGTTGACCAACCTCCAAACCTATGTTACTGTCATAGATCGAGTGTTTGGAAGGTACCATCACTTCCCTCGTGGTCTCACGAACTTGTACATATCAGTTGCTCAAAGTAAGGGCCTTGAGAACCCCAGAACTCTGAACTCTGGCGAGGAGTCGATTTCGCTCCGACGTGATCGTCGAGGTTATACCAGATTTTAAGACTTACAAAGGTAATCATTAGTCTTCTCTAGCATGTTAGGTTAGTTTTGGTTAAGTTTGGACGTCGAAATGAGCTTGGTTATGGGTTTGTAGGATTAGCCGGTTTTCAAGGATTTCTCCAGCCATTTTTCTGTTGGTTTTAGGACCTTTGAAAGGTAAGAACATGTTCTACTCGTTTAGAGCTTCAATTTGAGACAAATTTTATGAAATTTGGTTGAGAAATGGCGGAGATATCAAGCTTTGAAAATTTTCCAGTTTCCGGTGACACAGACGGTGGCCGGCGGTGGAGTCCGGTGATCCACCGGAGAAGAAATGAGAATATTCCGTCAACTTTAATGAAATATTCCTAACGGCGATTAACAGCGTCAGGTGAGACCTATCCTCAGGACGAGCACAATCAATTGAGGCTTAGGGGCCACGACCCTTCCACATATCAGTGAGTGGGTTTTTGCTTTTCCGTATATACCTATATACTTGAGATTTTTCCTAGAAAATCGATTTAAATGAAATTATGTTTAGAAATGCCATGCATATTGATTTATGCATAGATCATTGAATTAATAAAGTGTGCATATTGTGATTTGACGCGGTGGACGCTCATGTAAGTACCATGTGAGTTGTAGATTGTTTATGTTACTTGATGATTATGTGAGATGTGTTGAGAGCTCATAAACCTGCAGCCCGGAGTTAGTGCTCCTGCCCATGGTTAGGGCACAGTCCTTCACGTGATGTTCACCTCCCGCACCATACGCTTACCTTGGATCCAAGTTAGGTGCACAGTCCTGTCGTACATACCATTATAGGTGATTCCGACTCATAGGTGACCCGCGATTATTTGCACAGTCTTCACGTGATCGTAGCACTTGAGCGTATTTATTTACACCTAATCCTGTTATACAGACCACTTTAGATGGTTCTGACTCGTGTGTAGGTATATTTGTTGAGATGTGGATTTGAGCCGTATAAGTCACGTTAGGTGACCCTGGCTAGATGGATGAGCTCTAGATTCAACCGTATAGGTCACGTTAGGTGACTCCAGCTGACATATCATTTGCATTGATTTATATCACTTGGCTTACATATTTTATTGCTGAGATATTCGACATAGCGTATTTGTGAATTTTGCTATTCTGAGCATGGTTGTGGTATAGATATGTATTATATTTTCTGGGAAATTATACAGGTTTTACGGCGAGGGGTTACAATCTTTGATAAATGAAATGGTTTCGAAAAGCTTTGTTTTTGCCTACTCACACTTTCTGTTTTGCGCCGCTCCAGTTCTAGTTAGGAGTGCTTTTTGGTGGCTTGCAAGGAATCCACGGCTGCTGTGATAGATTATCACCATTGTAGGTTTACCTTTGGTGTTGTATAATTAGTAATCGTCATGTTGGACTGCACTTAGGCTACTTATGCTCTGGTTGTGAATTCACACTTATTTCGTCTTGCACCTTATCTTATCTAGTGCTCTAGTTAGTTGGGTTTTTATTTATTCGCATTTCTTATATTAATATTGCTTCCGCATCGTGCACATGGCTATGTCACCTTCACGTGGCTGCCAGCACGCCCTAATTTCGGTCGAGGTGTGTCGGTTTGGTATCAAACTGACACACCCCGACCTGGAATGTCCACTAGGACCCCAAATCGAGCTGTGTTGGCCAACACCTAGAAGGTGAAGAAGTCGTAAAGTGTGATAGTGTATAAAATATGAATAAATTAAAAACCTAAAAGTGCTTAAGAACATGAGTGCGCTATGAGCGGGTCTGGACCCATTTCACATGTGATACAGAGCATAGGTATGGTAAAGTAAGGTAAGATAATGATTATACCATCATAAGAAGACATATGTACTGAAAAGTGCTACGAATCCTCGTCGATACGGAACTCTGCTACTAGAACCTGGAGGGGTGCAAAAATAGAAAATGTGAGTGAGTGAAACAAAACTTTTCAAACCAATTTCAATTACCAAAGGCAGTAGCCCCTCGTCGTAATACCTATATAATTTCCCAGAAAATAACAGGCGTGACTATAACTATAAAGTTTAACCAAAATAACAGCCTCACAGTTATGCTGTATCAATTATCTCAACAAGAATAAGTAACCCAGGTGAAATAAATCAATATGAAATGGTATGTCAGCCAGATCCACCTATTGTGGCTTGTATGGCTGAACCAATAACTCATCAACATGCAAGCTGGAGTCACCTTACGTGACCTGTATGGCTTATCCATATCTTATCAATCAATGCTAGTATATAAGTCTGGAGTCACCTGTAGTGACCTGTAGGACTTATCCATATCTCATCAATCAATCCTAGCATATAAGTCAGGAGTTACCTATAGCGACATGTACGACTTATCCATATCTCATTAATCAATGTTAGCATATAAATCGGGAGTCACCTATAGTGACCTGTACGATTTATCCATATCTCATCAAGCAATGCTAGCATATAAGTCGGGAGTCACCTATAGTGACCTGTACGACTTATCCATATCTCATCAAGCAATGCTAGGATATAAGTCGAGAGTGACCCATAGTGACCTATACAACTTATCCATATCTCATTAACCAATGCTAGCATATAAGTCAGGAGTCACCTATAGTGACCTATACAACTTATCCATATCTCATTAACCAATGCTAGCATATAAGTCAGGAGTCACCTATAGTGACCTATACGACTTAATCTATAGCTCATCAAACATGCCTGCACACGAGTCGGAACCACTTATAATGGTCTGTATGATAAGACTGGGTGTAAATAAGTACGCTCAAGTGCTAGGATCACGTGAAGATTGTGCGAATAATCGTAGGTCACCTACGAGTCAGAACCACCTATAGTGGTCTGTACGACAGGCCTTTGCACCTACCTTGAGTCCAAGGTGAGCGTAAGGTGTGGGAGGTGAACATTATGTGAAAGACTGTGCCCTGGCCACGGGCGGTAGCATTAACACCGGGGTGCAGGTTTATGAGCTCTCGATGCATCTCAATATAACATGTACAACTCATGGGCAACCTGTACGACAGTGCCGAAGTTGCCTAACATTGCAACCTGTACGACAATGTCGGAGTTGCCTAACACATAAATGTAGTCATGCCATAACTCCATCAATTCAACTAATACCATAAACTCACCTGAACTTACCTGGATGTCCTGCGTTCACCTTTGCACTTCAAAGCATTCCCAATAATTGTGTGCAGGTAATATACATATGGATATACCATGATGCAATCTAATACTCAACCATGTCATAGCATTTTTAATTATATACACATATGTATATATATATATATATATATATATATATATATATGTATATATATATAATATGGCATAAAATGCATAAGTTGTAACACCGTACTCCCGAACTATTTATTTTCGGGGATAATTATTGGTGATAAGTCCAACTAGACACTAGTTTAATTAACCATCACGATTTTGTTTGAGATGATATTGTCCGCTTTGGGCCCCGACCATGCCCTCACGGTTTTGTTTCTAGGAACTGACACGAGAACTTCCCAGTGGGTCACCCATCATGGGAATGCTCTTGCCCGAACTCGCTTAACTTCTAAGTTCCCATGGAACCCGAAACCAGTGAGCTCCCAAAAGCCCTCGTGCTAGGTAGGGATGAGAATATACATATAAGGCTTACAAGAGCCAATCCCTAGCCGGATGTGTGCCGACGAGGACGTCGGGCCCTTAGGGGGGTGGATTGTAACATCCCACATCGCCCGGGGGAGTGGATCCTATAAGCCTTATATGTATATACCCATCCCCACCTAGCACAAGGCCTTTTAGGAGCTCACTGGCTTCGGGTTCCATGGGAACTTAGAAGTTAAGCGAGTTTGAGCGAGAGCATTCTCATGATGGATGACCTACTGGGAAGTTCTCGTGTGAGTTCCCAAAAACAAAACCATAAGGGCGTGGTCGGTGCCCAAAGCGGACAATATCGTGCTATGGTGGTGGACCGGGCCCGGGATGTGGTGGGCCCTAAGCCGAGATGTGACACATATGATCAAAATCTTGAGGATAAAGTTGGGCCAAATGAACAATTTTTGCTTTGTCAAAAGATGCAAAATTATTCACTGAACTCAAACATGTCATACAAAGAAGCAACTCGGTGTTTACCCCATTGAAGCGATCATTCAATTCCTTTAGTTGCATATCAAGGACTTGAAAATAGAGGTCCACACGATAGTAATGGAAGTTTGTGATTTTTGGAGCTTTACACCTTGATTTTCCAGGTACGAAATGCAAATCCTCAATGTTAGGATCAGTTGACACCATTCTTCAAAGTCAAATTTAAATTGAGTACTTTAGAACTAGACAGGGGACGTGTTATCAGAATCCTGAGAACCAGATGATTGTTTACTGGTTCTAATAGCAAATAAAACTCATTAACAACATGAAATGAATTAAACAAGAAAAAGCATGCTTACTTGCATCGTCTCCCATATCGCAATCGTCCATGGCCTTAATATATAACAACTAGAGATAGCATAGCATTCGATCATCTCACTATTAACAACGACCTAAGCACAAGAAACATAAAACTTTTCTACATCATGAAACAAGTCCCCAAAGTCATCATCTTTCAAGGATTGTAGTCTTTGCTTGTATACTTCCACTAACGCCATCGCATTCACAATATCTTGATCTTTCTTTTGCAATGCTTGTGATAACTCATATGTAATTCCCAATATAAGTCTCATCAAGAAAAGGTGAAACACAAAATCAAAAGTTTGTATGTCTTTGAATAACCTAGTTGCTTCACCAAGATTATCTTGATTGCGATCACTTTTAATCCATTCAACCACCTCCACCACGACTTCAAACATAACAATAATACTAACTATAGTACCATAATGCGAGTTTCACCGTGTATCACATGGACACATGAGACTACTTTCTTGATTTAACCCTTTACCTGTTTCAATATTACCAAGATCAAGAGCTTTCTGAATTTGTTCTTGTTGTTTCTCTCTAAATGCATCACGACGCTTACACGATGATCCAATAAGATTCACCAAACTACTAGCATTGATGAAGAAATTGGCAACATCCTCATTTTCCTTTGCCACGAATACAAGAGCTAATTGGAGTTGGTGTGCAAAACAATGAATGTAAAATGCTTGAGGGTATTTGTTGAAAATCTTTGTTTTAAGACCATTTAACTCACCTCTCATATTACTAGCTCCATCATAGCCTTGTCCTCGTAACATGGACATACTCAAATTTGTTGTAGCAAACAATCTCTCAATGGCCTCTTCAAGTGAGCTGCTAGTTGTAGAGGAGACATGCTTAACGCCCAAAAACATTTCAATTGCTTCTCCTTTTTTGTTCACATAACACAATACTACTGCCATTTGCTCTTTAGTCGAAGCATCATGTGATCCATCAACCAAGAGAGAGAAAAATGTACCTTCCATATCTTTGGTGATTGGATTAATAGTTTCAATAGCACAAGCATGAATAAGATCCTTTTGAATATCGGAAGAAGTATACTTGAGATTCTTGGGAGCATTCTCAAACACAACCTTCCTAACTTTCTCATTTTGATCGGCAAGAAATTGCAAGCTCCAAATAATTACCCCTATTGCTTGAGCTGAATGATTCATCATGGCCACGAAAAGGCAAACCTTGTTGCAACAACCATCTTGTGCAATCAAGTGCACCACGCAATAAAGTGTGATAATAAATGCGAGTTTCATCGGTTTGCTTAATCACAAATGTTTCAATATGTTGCTTTTGCGTCATCAAATCTCTAGCTTGTTGTAAAGCTTTATTATGAAGACTTCCAACACCTCCCTCATGATCTCGAAAATTTTCGAGTCCTTTACTGCAATTTGTAAACCCAATCTCAGTGAAGACATCACTTCCGGCATTTCCCTTTATATCAAAATCACACTTGAATAGATAGCAATAACGGCAAAATGCAGCATCTTTTACTATACTATACTCCAACCACTTAAAATTATCAAACCAACGGGTGACAAAACATCGATTGTCACTAACTTTTCTGGGCATGATGTGATCTTTAGGTTGAGAAGGATTATTTTGGGGACAGTGTCGACAAATTGCTTCATGATAATTAGGTGGATAATCAAGCATTCGACGTTTATGTCCAGGGTCTATAGGAAGATTAGCCAGTATTTTATCCAACTCAATGACCTCACTTTGTTAGGAACTACCCGGAATACTCGAAGAAGGAATATTTGGAATATTCGAAGGAGGACTACTTGGAATATTCAAAGAAGGACTAGCCGGAATATTTGAAGAAGGATTTAAGCACTGTTTCTTATAGTATGATTTAAGCATTGTTTCTTATAGTATCATTCCATTGTTTAACTGTATATGGAAAAGAAAAAAAAAGTCTTAGACTCTTAAATCTAGAGTAAGCTATACTATAGTCTATATGAGTACTAAATAATTAAACCAACAATTCAATTAATCAATACCAATATTCATATAAATTATTTAATACACAAAAATTCAATTAATAAATTAATATCAATAATCAAGAATTCAATTTTTACTCTAGACAATAATTTCATTCATCAATAATCATTCATAGGATTCATATTTATATGCAAAAATCAATTATCAATAACTATATTAGTGTATTACTCTATGATTCTATATTAATTAACTAAATTTTTGTAATAATTAATTAATTAATTAGGGTTAGGGATGATATAAATTAGAAGGTTAAAAAATTTACCTAAAATTAAGAGAGAAGTGGAAAACCAACCCAACAGGTTGGTTGCTGTGCTGGAGGCTAGCGGCTGGCTCGGCTTGAAGGAGAAATAAGGGACAACGGAACGAGATGGAGGGAGGAGGGCGCTGAAAGCCTGAAACGTGAAAGCTGTTGGGATTTGGGGGGGCATGAGTCTTCTGATTGGTTAAGAGGGGATTGGTTTTCAAAAAGTGAAGGTCTGCTTTGAAAAATGGAAGGCACTGGGACATTGGTCCCCTTTAAAATTTTCTATTTTTTTAAGCAATTAACGAAACGATGTCGTTTGTTTAAGGAGTTTTTTTGTTTGTTTCAATACTAAATGAAATGAAGCCATTTCATTTAAAGGATTTAAAAAAAAAAAAAAAATTACATAAGCTGCTGCACACAGCAGCAGAAACCTAGAAAGGCAGAAACCGATCTGCATACTACAATGCAGCCATTCATTCCAACGAGACCAGAGGGACGGAACCACGTTCATGGGCTTAATTTCTGGCAAGGGGAGGGGTGGCCGCCCCTCCCAATCCCTCTGTAGCTTCGCCACTGCTCACTAGATAACGGATGCTCCATCGGTTAACGGCTATATCAATTTTCATCAATACAAAAAATATATTCGTTCAGTTGACGTATTATGATTTAGTAAATATAGATTTCGTCGTTAAATATTTGATGTATAAAATGATCAAATGAATAGATCTTGTGGAGTACAAAAATTAAAGCTAAATGTCGATTATGTTGGCTGATTTTTTATTTCTCTCATAAGTACCATTGAATTCTTATTGATTTTGGTTCAAAACTTTTGAACTTGCCCACAAAATATATATCACATAGGGCAACTGATGAGCCAATTTCATATTATATATTTTACCCTATTCTTAGTATGTTTTGAGTAATAATTTTGGTAGAATTTTGATACTTTGTTTTATATTTTCAATATAGGACATTCAACTTCCTCTGGAACAAAACATGATCAAACGGATGAATTTGGAGTGATTCAAATTGGAGGACGTTTGTGTGTCTCTTGACGTATTCGTGTCAAAATTTGGGATTATTTTCTGATGGTGGAATAAATGAGCAGTGCGCAGTACTGGAAAATGACGTTTGTGGGCTTAAATTACGTTTTTGGAGCCCAAAATGACCTCTAATGGCTTTGTGGCCCTCTGGAGAAGTGTTCAGAATATTCCAAAATTTAAATTTAGCTATATTGGGCTGGTTTTTTAGCAGATTACGTATGACAGCCAATCCCGGACTTTTCGTGCCGTAGGGGTGAAATGACGGTTTTTCCCCTAATGGATAATTGTTGTTTGTGTGGTTGTTTTGGGTTCTTGGTTGGTTGCATCCCAGCCACACATCCATCATCATCCTCATCCCTCTCTCCTATTCTCCTTATCTGTCCGGAGACCCTCTCTTTCTCCCTTTCTTATCCTTTTTGTACGGATAACACCACAAACCCTTGAAATCTTCACAGATCGAGGAAACAAACTACATATTCGTGCTCGTGAGGTCCTTAGAAGTTCAACCATACCCATTTCAGGTAAGGATACCTTCGTTTTCACGTCGAACTCGAGATCCCCGATTTTGGTCACTGTTCATGCACACGTTAATTCTTGTGTTTTTGGGAATTTCAAGCTTGTAGGAAGCTTGGTGAGGTCTTTAGGAGGCTCAGGGTGGTTCGTTTGAAGGTTTTGGACGTCGGGATCGTGAGTTGTAGGTTTAGCCAGAGTTGGTGGTGTTTTCCTGGCGAGATTCCGTTGGTTTTGGTGCTTGAAAGTGGTATGGATTTGTTCCTCTTGTTGTAAGCTTCATTTTGGTACCAATTTTGTGAAATTTGGATGAAAAACAAGTAAGATATCAAGTTTAGAAAATTTCTCGATTTTCCGGCGCAGGCGACACCGGAGTTTGGCTGGAGAAGATGACGGAATATTCCATCAGTTTGGACAGAATATTCCTAACGGCGTTAACGAAATCAATTAGATTTAATGGAATATTCCTGATGGCGTTAACTGACGCCTTCAGTGTGCCAGGCACGTGCTTGCGCGTGGGCGGCGCATGTGGCTGTGCCTTGGCCGGCGCGTGGGGGCGCGTGCGGTGTCAGAAAATTATTTTAAAAATATGGAGATGTTCGTGAGGTTGAGAAAATCACGTTGGTGTATTCATACACCCCATTTGAGCATTGTATGAGAAGTTATTTTGTAATGTTGGTTATGTGCTTTAAAGTTAACGTTTTTATAGTTGTTTCACATATAGGTGAGACCTATCCCGAGGACGAGCGCAGTCACTCGAGGCAAGGGGGTTACGACCCTTCTACTTACCAGTGAATGAGCTTTTGGTTTTCCGTATATACCTATATACTTATGTTTTTCCCAGAAAGTGAAATGAAACATTTATACGTTTATATGCCATGCATTATGTTTGCCCATTTAATTATGCATTATTAGTTGCATATATATGTGTGTGCTGGTGCTGCGGACGCACATGTAAGTGTCAGGTAAGTTAAGGTTTATATTTATGTTCAGTAGTGATTTGAGATGCATAGAGAGCTCATAACCTGCACCCCCGGTGTTAGTGCTCCCGCCCAGAGTTGGGCACAGTCCTTCCCGTGATGTTCACCTCCCGCACCACACGCTCATCTTGGATCCAAGTTAGGTGCACAATCCTGTCGTACAGAACACTTTAGGTGGTTTCGACTCGTAGGTGACCCGCGATGATTCACCCAGTCTTCACGTGATCGTAACACTTGAGCGTACTTATTATACACCCAGTCCTATCGTACAGACCACTTTAGGTGGTTCCGACTCGTGTGCAGGTATAGTTAGTGAGTTGGAGATTTGAGCTCTAGATTCAGCCGTACAGGTCACGTTAGGTGACTCCGGCTGACAAATTACATGGCATTGATTTGACATTACCTGAGTACTTGCATTCTATTTAGAGGCATTTGACATGGCATATTTCTGAGCATGGCTTATACATATTTGTATGTTCTATTTTTCTGGGAAGTATACAGGTTTTACGGCGAGGGGTTAGAACTTTGTTTATGAAATGGTTTTTGAAAAGCTTTGTTTTTGCCAACTCACGCTTTCTGTTTTGCGCCCTTCCATGTTCTAGTTTGGCTAGTGCTTTTGGTGGCTCCCCAGAGGATTTTCCCGGCTTATCTGACAGATTATCACTAGTGTAGGACCACCTTTGGGTGTGTTTATTTAGTGTTGTTTCTCCTGGACTGCACTAGGTCTTCCGTACTGTGAGCTTTGTTTTTCACACTTACGCTTGCACATGTATGTTATTTACCTTGTGTACAGCTAGGATTGTATTTATTCGTACTTTTATTATTATTTATTAGCTTCCGCGCTATGCACATGGTTACGTCACTTCCATGTGACAACCAGCATGCCCTGATCTCGGTCGGGGTGTGTCATTAGGGGTGCAAAACGTGGTTGTGCAGATTTTGGGCGAATTTTATCATTTAATTTAGAGTTATGTTTCCTATTTTATTTTAGTATTTAGTTTCCTAGTTTGATTGGGAGACCTTTTATTAAGAGGATTTAATTTTTACTAGGTTAAATAAGCTTGGCCTGCCCTATTATTTCTTCTACTTCTTCTCCGTGCGTTGTTTGAGAGAGGAAATTGGCCAAGATTTTCAGACTTTTACATTCAAGGTGTTTTCAATATTTTATTATTTCAATAAAGAACTTTGTGATTTTTATTATGAATATACGTAACTAATTCTCTTTTTGCTAGGGTGATGTCAGGAGCCTTAGCAAGAATATGTAGTTTCTATTCAATTTGCTTATGATTATATGCATGCAGGTTTTTGAATTATTAATCACTGGGTTATACTGTCACATCCCAACCCTCAGCTCCAACTATATTGTCCGCTTTGGCATTCCCTGC